GTCGATAACCACGAAAACGAGAAAATGACCACAGAAACAAAAGAAAAAACGAAAATTCCACCAATAGTAATTTACAAAAAGTTTGAAAATCACAATGAAATCGCGGAAGAGATAAGAAAAACACTCACCAAAGGATTTTACCTAAAATTTACAAAAAACACAACATTAATTTTTGCGGAGGATGAAAATGCAGAAATAGAAGACGCGTTACATAATGAATATCAAAACGAAAACAAACTATCTATGGTAAAAAAATAATAGATATGCCGGCAGTATACACAAATTGTGGGGAGGATCATCCTGCAAATTCAACGAAATGTAAAGTCTATTTGGATAAAATTGAAAGAAAAAGCCAAAATAGACCAAACAAACAGACCCAAATAAAAAGGAACAATCCATTCACATTAAGAACAGAAGAATTTCCAGAACTATCACGGCCATCTACAAGTTGTGCATACCAGAAAGAACCCAACAGGATACCACCAGTAACCAGAAGAGCTCCCTGGGGTCAACTAGACGACAGACAGTCGATTTAGAAACCTTACTAATTTGGGGTAATAAAATAATAATAATAGGGGATTTAAACGGACGTCATGAAGATTGGGGTTGTCCTGGCTAACCCAAATGGAAATACTTGTTATAAACTTGAGGTATATGTTGAATTTCCCCTGGCCAGTCGAAACGTCAAGGGCAGACAGAACAGAGAATTGACAGAAGAAAGAGACGCGATAGCGGTTTTGTTTTGATTTTAATAATGTTGGAGTTTCTATTAAATGTTTTTGGAATTTTGAACGAGTTATTTATCGTGCATATAACATCTCAGCAGCGGGATTTGATACTGACTATCTAAAGAACTGTGTGGAATTAACCATATCTTTCGTGTTTCGAACTGTGTGACGAGAAATAACACGTGCTTTGAACTTTCGAACTGAATTCTGAGTGAATTTAAATTGAGATGAACGATGTCTGAGCGTGAAGCTACCAGTCGATATTGTGACGAAGGTGCCGATGAAGAAGATAGTATAGATGGAAACCACTTTGAAGGTACGGTGGGTGAGGATCGGATTCCTCCATGAATGAATAGTGAAACCATTTACATACAACGCATGATGGACATGATGATTAGTGAAAACAAGCGAAGAGACGAAGTGATGATGCAGTTGCTGCGCCGGGTGACTTCCCTTCCTGCGAGTCCTGTAAGCTCCGGGGAGCTTAACGTTATCGGGAAGTTTGACGGGAATACCGACGTCCCAAAAGCCCCACAGTGGTTGAAGAATGTGCGCAGCTGACTGGTCCAGCAGTATATTGGTTCAATACGAAGAGTTCTGCGATTAGCACATAGCAAGATTTTAAGACGATATTTAACAAAACTTACTGACAAGCGGAAGGACTGATGGAATAGATGGAATAGAATGCAGGCTCGAAAACAGCGAAAGAGTGAGTCAGTGATGTCCTATTTCTACGATGAACTTACCATGGAGATGTTAAACATACCCGAGGCGGTATCAGTAACGCAGAAAAGCCAATTACTGGACTTGTTGAATGAGTTCCGGGACTGGTTTGCGCTCAATACGAAGGAATTGGGTTGCACAAACGTTACAGAAATGTCTGCATCGGAGAGAGGGATTATATTTGACATGGTCAAAGAGTTAAAACGATGTGGATGAATACTAACCCAAGATTAGTCGTCGACTATCGAAAATTGAATGAGCAGATGGTTCCGATGAATTTTCCTATGCCAGGATTGGGCGAGCAGTTCCAAAGCAGTTCCTGCATGACCAAACGAGTACATGCAGGTCCCGCTGACGAGGGAAGCCTGTAAGAAAACGGCCTTTATTACTCCCGATACTACCGATGAGTTCAAGCGAATGATTTTCGGGTTGACGAATGCACCATTTGAGTTTGCCAGGTTGATGAACTTGGCGTTCATCGCCAAGGAAGGAGCTGTTGAGCCCTTTACGTTTTGGTGTTGGGAGCTTTCCGTGGGGAGCAAATTTGACCCTCGGCATAAAGAAGTGCCAGTTTGAAAAGACGCAGATTGATTTTCTGGGTTATGTTGTTAGCGACAACCGGGAACAACAACATTTCGTGCCTTTGATGAATTTTCTGAACCGAGGAGTGTCCACGAAGAATCCTAGGATTAGCCGGATTCTTTGGACGGTTCATAGCGAGATATGCGATGATAGCCAAGCCGCTGACGGATCTCACGAGGAAAACGACACTGTTTATTTTCGATGAGTTTAGCGACCTTAAGAATAGTCTGTTGAATGATCCAAAGGCAAAGACGGAATTGCAGGTTTACTGATGCAGCGTGACGAAGAAGGCAGAAGGCGACTTATCTATTGCGTATCAAAGAAAACCACATAGAGTGAAAGCAGGTATCATTCTTCGCGTCTGGAGCTTTTAGCGACTGTGTGGTGTTCGACAAGGTCAGTTATGTGACGCGCTAGAGCGGACGTAGCGATTCCAATTACAATTCCATATACACCGTTGGAAATTTAATTTCGCATAATAGGGAAATCAATGTTAAATTCTTAGCCGGCTGAAATACAGTCTACCAGTGTACATTTCAATAGAACGTCGCGATTAATTCTAATAAATTTAATTGTTCTACTGGATTGCACGCCGCGATTTGTAGAGGTACAAAGTTATTTTTGTTAGGTATGAGGTACAAAATTATTTAAAAACTACATTTAATAGGTTTTTTGGGGATATTTTAAAAAAATGTGTGTATCGGTAGTTACAGTTTTGAAACAGCAACAAATTTTGTTGAAATAAGGGAAAAAATAATTCAATTTTCTGCTAGAATTATACCTCAGCTCAGTAATATGGGATGACATCTGTATGACAGGTTTGGCTATAGTTTAGTAGAAAGCGGTGGATTATTTTTTAGAGTTCTTTTATTTTCTGTTTTAAAATAATCTTTAAGTTTATTTTTGGAGTTTACTTTTTATTATTTTCTTAGAATTTACTTTCTTTTTCAAGCCATTGTGGCAAAAAGACATATCTACATAATTCTATTTTAATATTAGTGATATTTTTTCAATAAATTATCGTTTAAAAATTCTCATTTCTTTGTAATCGACTCGACGTTCACCCATCCGAACCCGTTTTGATACTGTCGAAGAGTCGAAACCGTCGAAATTATTTGATTTTTAATCTAACCGAACCAAATCGTGGTGTGAAGTCCAGTAGAACAATTAAATTTATTAGAATTCATCGCGACGTTCTATTTAAATGCACACTGGTAGACTGTATTTCAGCCGGCTAAGAATTTAATATTGATTTCCCTATTATGCGCGAATAATTTTCCAACAGCGTATGGTCCAGGCCCAGGACAGCCTTATGAGAAATTTTCGACGTTCAATTTAGTTTTACTCGATGCGTGTAGTTGGCGCGGCGATCGTTTTTTTTGAGAAACAGCGCAAGCAACCCACGCAACATGCCGTAGATCATTATTAACGATTTTTGAACATGTGCAGTTCGAAGAGTTTTGAAATTTTGAAATACAACCGAATAAATATTTCTTCCAACTATTGTTAGTTATCGATTATACAAAGTGCTTTGGTATTTGCTGTGAGTTTTATAAATGAATAATTTGTGTATTGTCAACGTGATTCTACCATTCTATTGCTACAAGACTTAGAAATTGTTGCAGCGTCGATCGCCATTTTTCCAAAGCAGATTTCCAATCATCGGAAGGTCTGAAATCAGACAAGATTGCTGTGTCATGCTTTCTTTTCAAGGTAAATATAATTAACATTCGTACATAATTTCATCAAATATCATTTTTATCATATTAACTGCTTATTTTTTTGTTACAGAAAATGGAGATAGTTCTATTCGGTTTGGCGAGCTACCGACCACCGATATAAAATGACTGGATTTCTCAGAGAAAGGTTTGTGAATTATTTATTGTATTGTTAATAGGCCAAAGTACTTTAAAGTCTAAATTATTATTCATAATACGTAGGTTTACATTTAAAATTATGATGAACTATTTTAATATTGTACTATTTAAGTGTATTATATTTATGTTTATATATGTAGGTATTAAATTATATTGAATTAATTAATATCTAATTTTAAATCCGCAAATTTGTATGTTTTTTAAATATATATTTTTAAAATGAAACGTTTTTGTCGTTAATTTATTTGTGAAAGTAATTATTTTCGATATTATCCAATTACTTGTAAAACTTGTACAATTTTTTATACTATGTGTCTATATTTAATAATTACATAAAATTCTTATACATTTTATATAATTATTATTATAATAGAATAATAAATTTACAAGTTTTACTAGTAATTGGATAATATGAACAAGAAAAAGAAAAAAGTCGAATAGAAAACCAGTATTACACGACTGCGTTGATACTAGCCCCTTTTTACTATGCAACAACCATTACAAATTACAGTTTCCGTTACCATTTAGTACCACTCAGTGCTCTCAGGATGCGCTCTACAACGTCTACGAGATTCTCACGGCGATGTCCCTTCTTGTTTATTGTATATTCTGTGGTATGGTCACCGTTCGATGTACGATCAATTGCTGAGTGGACAATATGCATTTTATTCACCTTAATTCAAATATTGTAAATTCAGATTGAATATAGACTTGTTTCGATTAAGACCATTAGTTTTTGTTCCTTAACTAAATTAAATAAATTTTTAAAAATACTTTTTCGGAGTTCGGAATTATAAAGGGTCACCAATATACAGGGTGTTCCTAAACATCGTGTACATCCGAAAGGGGGTGATTCCTTGGTTTATTTTATGACTTATAACAATAGAAATACAAAAAACAAGGCATTTACCAGTGGGACGTGAGTTTTGGGCCACCCTGTATAAATAAATAAACGGGGTTTTTATTATAATTAAACAAAAATCAATTAAAATCAAAACATACTGTATATTTTTATTTTTTAGAAAAAAATTCAATCAACAATTTACAATTTTCGATTTTCAAAAAAATTTCAAAAACCTTTAAGAGAACACATCAACATCGCATTTCCGCCTTACAATATGAAAATTTTCGAAAATCACACGTCGGAAAATAAACAAAAATATATTAAAATTCATCAAAAAAAAAAGCCAAAAATTTCAATTTCACCTTACAGTCGCGTGTTTTTGAAAATCGACCGTTGAAAAATTGAAAAAATTCTCCACGGGGATTCCCGAATTATTTCCCACCGGACTGTGGATTTTTATCTGCCTCATATGAGTATCGCGGCCATTTTGATGATTACTGGTCACAGCTATCTGGATCATAAACACCCTAATGGGATTGTCACGGATATCTTTGATCGGAATGTGTACCCAACCTGCCAATAAATAAATAAATATTCGTTAACATATACACTGTGTTATCGTAAAAATCGTAAAAAAATAAGTCGAAATGGACATTGAATTTTCTTAAATTCGTTCTGGTTTATTAAAAAAATTTACAAATAAGTTGAAAAAGTCATACGCCATAAATAATTCCTTTTTATAACACTATCTAATTTGTTGTAAAAGAGGCGGAGCTAACCGAGATGGTTAAGGCTCTGCAATTTGAAAAAATAATATTGAAGAAAGTTTTTTGTTTTTCTTTATTTTGGTTTTTAATATTTTTGTCTAAAAAAAATGTTAAATAAAGGCATTTAAATTAAGACAAGCTTATTTAGGATAAAAATTTATTTTTATTTAATTAAATGTTCAGACAATTTTTTATTGGGTTTCCTAAAAAATAAGGTTGCTGAATATCAACAAAAGACAGCAGAGGAATTGAAAAATATTGTTACTAACGGATGTCAAAAAATTAGTAGAACTAATAATGATTAGTAGAATTAATCGTAATTAATAATGTACGGCGGTTTTATCATCGTTTGGGATTGTTTAGCAGAAAATGGAAAACAATTTGAACATTTAATTAAATAAAAATAAATTTATATCCTAAATAAGCTTGTCTTATTTTAAATACTTTTATTTAACATTTTTTTTAGACAAAAACATTAAAAAAACCAAAAAAAAAAACAAAGAAAAACTTTGGCCCAAACGGGGTTTGAACCACATTACTCCAAGATTATTTTTTCAAATTGCAGAGCGTTAACCAACTCTGTTAGCTCCATCCCTTTTACAACAAATTAGATAGTGTTATAAAAAGGAATTATTTATGGCGTAAGACTTTTTCAACTTATTTGAAAATTTTTTTAATAAACCAGAACGAATTTAAGAAAATTTAATGTCCATTTCGACTTATTTTTTTACGATCTTTTCAAATCTGTTATTATTTTTTATGAACATTATTTGGTAGAAAAGTTAGCTTGCTTTTGACACATTTGTACAGGAATCCCTATGTCGCATCTTATAAATAACACAGTGTAGTTGAAATGCATACGTTGAAAAACGTGCAATTTTAAAAGTTATACAAGGTGGACCCAAAAAGCTACCTACTACCTACCAAATTTAAGTTTTTTTTTAATTGAGAGCCCTGCATACAGGGTGGTTCAGAACTTGTCCGAAAAAATGTAAGGAAATTTAGAGCATAAAATTCTAAACCCATATCGCGAAAAAATTCCCTTTAGTTACGCCGGAAAAAAATTATAAAATTTTACACAGAGCGAACACAATTAATTTGACCAACTGTAAGCACCGCCCCAGCGGTGTTTTCTATTGTAACACGGTTGTCCAGTTTGCAGAGGCGTGCTAGGGGTATTTTTAAATTAGTTTTTCACTTTGGAATTTTTCCGCAAAAATCGCACTACTGGTTTTCTATGATGCTATACTACATTCCGTTTAATTTTTTCGGATAAGTTCTGAATCACCCTGTATTTTGAGATATTTGGAAACTACTCGTCGAGCTCTTTCTAATGAGATATCACTTATAGGTGGAGTTTAAGATTCGACATTCCTATACAATTTTTCGACCTACCCTGTACTATACAAATATTTTCAAATGCCTCTAGATCTTTTATTTTACAAAATAAATAACAAGTGTCACACATCGTTGAAATCAGCTCGTCGAGCTCTTTCTAATGATGTATCACAGTTCTATATTCAAGTTATAATTATTAATTTTTGAATATATTTCTGACCAACCCCGTACTGTCAACATATTTTCAAATGGCTATAAATCTTTTATTTTACCTAATAAATACCAAGTGTGGCACATCGTTGAAATCAGCTCGTCGAGCTCTTTCTAACGATGTATCACAGTTCTATATTCAAGTTAAAATTATCAATTTTTGAATATATTTCTGACCAACCCCGTACTGTCAACATATTTTCAAATGGCTATAGATCTTTTATTTTACGTAATAAATACCAAGTGTGGCACATCGTTAAAATCGGCTCGTCGAGCTCTTTCCAAATCCGCGAAAAATACAGCATGTCCCATAAAAAAATTAAAAAAAAAATGTAAATTTTACCGGACGGTTCGGCCAATATAATGATCTCGTTCTCCTGCAAATCGTTGAAATGCGTGCCGACTTTGATCGATATCCTGCTGGGCGTGTAGCTTTCGTCCAATTTGTAATCGGTGTAAATGTAAATGTCGCTGATCGTCGTTTTTTTCTGGAATTGAATGTTCACCAAATGGGGTAATTGCCCGTCGGATTGCCAATAGGTGTCAGCACGATCGTCTCGCAATTGATCTACGCCGAAACCTAAAAAAAAGGAGAAAAATAAATAGTAGAGTCACCAACCAGTTCCTAAAGTTAGGAAATACCTAAACAGGATTTAGGAATTCCTAAGAACAATTTGCGTTTCACGATGCGCTAAGTAATACCTAAAGGTAATAGGAAATGCCTTAAGTTAGGACAGCTCACTGGGCTTGCCTAAAACATTTAGGAAATACTTAAACATACTTTTCATGTGATTTCATGTGACTTAAGACTTGGCTGTTTTTAGACTCTTTAGATGAAAATTTAAAATGGGAGGAGTTTTTAGAAATTGGACGAAACTGATTTTTTTTCGCCTTTTTCGGTATATAAAAATACGGTATTACAAATATTACAAAGATTTGTAGATGATTTTTAATTTGAAACGCAGGAAGTTTTTGGATCTATTGACCGTACACATACATGTAAAGATCCATTGTCCTGGAGGAGAAGATGCAGAAATATTTTACATATCGGAAAGTTTATTTTCTATTAATGTACAGACTACATCTTCAGCAGATTTAAAAATAACTAACATAGTTTAAAGATGGCCCGGATCAGGGGGGTGGCACTTACTCTTGAAAATTTTGGAGAACGATTTGCAACGCCATCTATAGGGGTCCAACAACATTTTCTGTTGCCGAAGAGCATTGGCAGCTAAGTCAAATCTAAATAATGGAAAAGAAGAATTCCTAAACGAATTGTTATTGTTTACAGTACGCCATTACGCCATTATGACATTACGTCTAAACGTTTATTTTTATAAAGTAAGTAGTAAAATTGTTCTTAAATTAAAATGTATGTCATGTATGTATTATATATTATTATCCTTTATTTATTTTATTTTTATTATATATTTGAGTGTATTATTTAGTAACAGTTTAATATAAGTATACAGCAAATATATGTATTTTTAATTCCTAACTTTAATCTCACCTGCTATATTTAAATGTGTGAGAATTCCCGCCAATAAATGCTAAAATGTCATAGGTTCCTGTAATAGGTTTTGTTGGACCCCAATGGATGGCAGCACATTCAGGCCAACCACTTTTTTGACAGAGTGTCCGGTCTATATTTGTATTTTGTCTATGGCCCGGATCATCGACATCTCTTCTTTTCTCTCAACATATTCAATTACGATCTCCGCTTATTCGGTTTACACGTCAAAATTAGGCAATGCTACCAATAAAATTCAAAAAATTGTCGAAATCAAATTTTTACCTAGGTAATTCTTAGTAAGGGATTTCTAATGTTGCTGAAATTCGATTTAGGTAAGTATTCAATTTAAGTAATTCCTACCTTAGGAAGTACCTTAGGAAGTAGAAAATGCCTAAGAACATGTTGGTGAAATCGGGCATAAGGGCCGATTGCACCGACTTATTTTTATGGGACCATTAATAAAGTATATCTTAAATTTTAATGTTCCTTTAAATGTTCGTTATTTTATATGGAAAGTGCCATTTTTAACTTCATTTTTGAACTCTATGGCATTTTTTAACTAGACTTTGATAATAACACCATATGCCAAAAATGCACCATTTTTAAGATATTACAATTTTTTTGATATTTTTTGGAAAAACAGTCGAATGTATTTTCTGTGATATCCCTGTTAATAATGCAGCTGGAAGCTTGAAATTAAGTATCGATGATGTCCAGACATACTACTAAATGAAACTAAACTGTATTTTAAGAATCTATGTACAGGGCGTTTAAAATAGTCTGACAAACTTGGCCAAATTAAAGTGGTCATAACTGTGTTATTTCAAATGGACCACCCTTTATTTTTTAACACCAACCAATGCAGTTTTTTAAGCCCTTTCGATCCATATGGGTATTCCCTATACCCAAATCCAGTAGTTTTTAAAATAATGGAAGTTTTATTAAATAAGGTATGGATTTTCTTTTTTTTTGAGTTATCTAGTTGGCAATTTGATGACCTTATATCAATACAATAAGTAAACAATAATGCACCGTAAATAAGTAATAAATTCAAAAAATCTGGAATGTTATAGCCCAACGTTGACATTTTTGCTATAATTTCAAGAACTGATTTCATTTGTCGGATTAGCAAAAAACCGTGATCCTTTACAACATCGCCTCCTAGCGCCCGTTTTAGAAACACTCTGTTTTATCCTCGAGACACTTTTTCGACCTAAGTTTGCAGACCTTAGAAATATATGACCGTGATTTCTTCTCTTTTAGTCGTTTCGTTCAAGATTGACATTTCTTTTTTAACTTTCTTTTCTTTCTTTCTTTCTTACTTTCTTTTCTAACCAAAAATTTTATGGCTGAACCAAAATAAACGTATGAGATCCATTAATTTCACGCCAGAGAACATAATTTGTTGTTCTCAATTGTATATAAATATTAGCCCTATAATTAAAATAATAATATAATTTAAATTAATATATTAATTCAAAATAATATAATTTAATGCAACAAGTCAAAATTTTAATAATAGAACCGAACAATTAAAAAGATGTTATGAAAATAGAAGACAGGCGTTGAGGTAGAAAAAGGCTGAAATTTGGCAAGAATGTTTAATACTAAATGATCTTGATGACCGAATGTAGATGATACATTATCATATTATTCTACATTTAACTGTAGAATGGCATTTAAATATGTTAAATTAGACGTTTCAATACAAATATTTTGACTTACATTTTCTAATAAAGTTTTAACTGCAGAAAATTCGTTTCTTATGAAAGGGCGCTTTAAAGAAGGCTTAAAAGTATATTAAAATGTGGTGCAACGAGCCAAGAACGTTAATGTACTATTAAAGCTCCATTAGCTTAAGCGGAGAGGTCGAGTTGTCACCCAAAATTCTAACCGGTCACTTCTTATGGGTCGAGTTGTCACCCGTTACCTGGGGTAGGTACGGCAGGGTGCAATTAGGTTTTCGATTAATTCTACTTCGTTCAAAAATCCTAAATATTTTTTGAACGTAACCAACTTTTGTTTTTTTTTATTATTTAGGTAGATACATTAAATATTTTTTGAACTTTACATTTATTTTATAAGATCAATATGATTCTGAAAATATTAAAATTTAAATAAACTCAAATTTCCTTTTACTTACATGTATGTAGAATTTATTTAATGAACAAACGCAAACACAAATTTAAAAATTTAAAAGAACAATTAAAAATTTATGTACATTATGGTGAGGCGTATAAAACGATTGATTACTTGTCGCATGAAATGATTCCAATGCATTTGTGGTTCGTATTAAGGACGAAGAATGTTGACCCATACTTGAGGAGGAAATTTTGAATTGTTATCAATGTACGTTTCCACTAAATAATGACAAAATTTTGTAACTTTATTGCAATTTGGTTTTATCTCTAAAAGTTCCAATGCAAAACATTTACCAACTATTTCTAACCCAAATCAAAAAAACCCAACATTATTAAGCAATTAGACCCTTATAATCTGCATCGAACGGATAACAATAGATGGGTGACAACTCGGACATGACCTTTTTTCGCCCAGGTAAAATTTAGAAATTTGGGTGACAACTCGGACCTGTCCGTAAAAATATACGGGGTGTTCCGTTTAAAAAAAAACACAACTTTGATATGTAACTTTTTTCTGGGACATCCTGTATACTTGAAACTAATTTTTAATTATAGCTTAATTAGACATACACAAAAGTTACATTTATAAAATTTTCATAAAATGGACCGTTAATGAGATATACAGTGTGTGTCACGACGATGGTTCATTAGAAGTATCTGGAAAAGTAGTTGTAAAAATTTGAAAATATGTGTACAAGTATTAGTCAATGCGCTCTATTCAATGAAAATATTTTCAACTTTTCTTTACTTCCGGTTATACCGGAAGTGGACATCAACTTTGTTATTTTAAATGGGACACCCCATATATTAATATATTTTCGAAATGTACGCAAAATTTTAGAGTGCTTTTGTCTAAAAAACTTTTTTCAAAAATGCATACTTTTTGAGTTACTTAAATAGTACTCTAATGACGTTAAACGTCGATTTATTCAGGTATTTATTAAATGTTCCGCCATTTTGTAATGGGTGCAGATATTGACTTTATATTCCAAGGTTGTACAGTATTTGTCAGGAGCTTCAAAATGATGTGTCACAAGACCCCCCTTTCCATTTAAATTTATTTCACAAGATGGCGCCCAGTCGCCATCTTGAAATTTTCATCTGTCAATTTTACTCCAAAATATAGTAATCATGCATTAGTTTTGTTATCCTAAATTTCAATTTTCTAAGTTGATCCGTTCAAAAAATAAAAGGGGGGGTGACATTAAAGAAATGCACTGTATACCTCTTAAAAGTTTATTAAATACAGTAGTTTTTGCTAAAAAAAACTTATGAATTTTATAAAATTGTTGGTTTTACGACCATTAAAAGTTTCATATAATTATGTTCATTTCATATTCATAACAATCAAATCTTTTATAACACCCGGTATTGATTTTTTTAATTCTGATAAATACTTTTTTATAGCAATTTTAATTCACTTTTACGGTATATGATCAAAATTAATGTGACTATACGAATAAATGTGATACTTCGGTTGTACTACTTGTTTTGAACTATGTACTACTTGTTTTTTGGAAAAAATTAAAAAAAAATTAAAATGTTAAATGAAATGTTAAATAAAAGAGAAACTATCGACTTTTCGAAAAAGTGTTATAGGACATTTTTTGTTCAAAATTACTTGTATAATCACCTCCTCAAGTTTGGCGGTTTTTATAGTAGACACCCTGTATAGAGATAGTTGTACTATCTCTACGCTGTACTATCGTGGGACACCCTGTATTCATGTCGTATTTAATAAACCAATGTCCAAAACCGATGTCAGCAGTTTATTTCCTGTAGCAGTCATATGTTTCGGTTTCTTAACTTGCATACAGGGTGGCCCAGAACTCACGCCCCACCGGGAAATGCCTTATGGAAACGACCACGGTCGTATAATAACAATAGGTCGGGCAACTCATGTTGAAAATGTGTTGCGGATAATGTGACTCTTGACAGATGGCGCTAGTATCGGGTAGTGTTGTTTAATCGTATATTTATAACGCCAATTTTCCTTCATTCCACTATTTTGTCTTCTAAACATCATTATTATTTAATCTACGACAATTTTAATTTAATTTAACGATATTTCAATATTCGTTTATCGTACCGAAGTGTATTGAGAACCCTACCCGAAACTAGCGTTCCTAGCGGATTTTTCGTGAACCTTCGAACCAAAGTCACAATAAGCGCAACATTTCCTGTAATACAAAATAGTCAGAGTACAAAATTTCCAGACCTACTAAATAATACACGGCCGTGGAGACGACAATAGAGATGCCAAAACTACAGTAGAAAACATGAAAAAGTTATTCCGGGATTGGTCGATTTTAAACCTCTTTATTTACCAAAGGAATAACTTTTTCACGTTTTCGACTGCAGTTTTGGCATCTCCATTGTCGTTTCCATAAGGCATTTCCCGGTGGGGCGTGAGTTCTGGGCCACCCTGTATACCTTGAGCAATTCATTCATTTTTGAAAGCAAAAGGTTATGCTCTTTTTTATAGGGCACCGGAAGGATCGAGTAAAATCCAAAACTTCTTTTGTATGACATCACACTTAAAAAACACACACTTCGCACGAAACACCTTGTATTCTATGATAACATTAAATGAAATCAAGTAAGCTTCTTTATTATTATCATTATCGAATAAAATCAAGTAGGCCGGAATATTATCGTATAAAATTTTCCTCGAATTAAATTTGTTTACCTCGAAGACCGTGCATTTTATTAATATGTTAGGGTGATAATTTAAATATTGGGGATGTTTATTAAGTTAGAAATAATTGAATTTTTTACCTGGTTTACAAGAAGAAAGACTCCAAATCGCCTGCGAACCGACTTCTCTTACATTTCCTGTTCGTTCGTTTTTTATCGGATCAACGTCGCCCGTGCTTCTTAGTGACATTTTTGAGTTTTTATTTTTTTTATGATTTCACTGCGAATTAACAGAGTAAATTGCCAATTTTCGTCAATTAAATTTTACTTCGTTGAGGTTAGGTGTTTATTTTGCTTTGTGACATTCAAATGTCATTTGTCATTTATCTCATAAGTGTGAAGTTAGGTACGTTTTGTTCTTTTTTTTTGTATTATTTTACTGTTGTGTTTTTTGGTACATTGTTTAATTGGTTTAAATTTGATGCAGAAAAATTAATAAGAAAATATATAAACTAATTCGCCATCTCCCACAGAATCTATCTAAACAATGTCCTTAGTTACTCCATAACAACAATGTAAAACTGTCAAGTTAGATAAGATTCATTAGCATAAAAAATTTGTGTATAACTGAGTAAAAAATATCTTTATTCAAAAATTACACGTACATTACAAATACCCAAATAATGTTTAATACAATATAGAATTAAATTCCACAAGAACTACTCGCGATTTAAGGGAACAATAAATTGGACACAATTTACAAAACACTTAAAAATACTGACAAATTTAATAAAATATGAATGTTAATTAGTTATAATTAAATATCTTTAACTTCGTATTATTCAAGAAAGAACAAATGAACACAGTGAGTATATTAAGAAAAGACTTTTTTGAGAAAATTCTAGTAGGCTTTGGGATTAAATTATTAAATGATCTAACCCAATTAAATTAAATTGTGTAGAGAAAGGAATTCTCTAATTTTGCTCTATTCTCCATTTTGCAGAGTGTTCTATTTAGAGAAAGACTGCTATATTATGTTGTATGAACGAAGAAGAAACACTAAACAGAGATAATCAAATTATTAATATACTACTCCACAAAAGTTAAGGAAGTTCACAAATATTGAGATTAATTTAAAAGTTGCAGGTTTTTTGATCGCCAAATTTAGTATGAGTTGTAGAGGTAGGGACAAAAAATCCACTCAGATATGAAAGAAAACATTTAATTTCTTATATTTGAAAATTTGGTGATCAAAAAGTCTGTAAATTTTAAAATAATCGCCAAATGTGCGAACTTCCTTAACTTTTGTGGAGCAGTTTAATAAAAGAATACTTATCTTGGGTTTGGAAAAATTACATTATAGAAAATGACAATTATTTTGAAAATTAAATGAGATAAAAGTATCCCGTGTGTTTCGTTTTAAAGGAAAAATGTTCTCTACACGATTTAAGCAACTGAAAAATGTCCAAAACCGCTTACTTTTCGAAAAAAATTCAAGTTTTTATTCGTATCGAAATTACGAATTTGTAATAAAATTGCAATTATCTCAGAAACTAATTGAGATAAATTAAACCCGTATGTTTCGTTTTAAAGTTACATTTCTCTAAAACTTTATAGTACCGAAAATTTTCAAAAAAATCGCTCTAAATTCGAAATATTCAGAGTTTATTAAGATCGTATAAATATTACTAATTTTCGCGAAATGTCCCAAGAAAATCTAAATTATCTCAAAAATTAATTCTGATAAAAACACACCATACATTTCATTTTAAAAACATAACATTTCCCTACTTTTGGTAACAAAATTTTTCCAAAATCGCTTACATGTCGAGGTATTTTAAGTTTATTTTGAGATTACATTAAAATTACTAATTTTTGCGCAATTAGACAGAAATTAGCAATTATCTCAAAAACTAATTAAGATAAAAACACCCCAAACGTTTCATTTTAAAGTCAAAACATTTCTGTACAACCTTAAAGCATCGAAAGTTTTCAAAAATCGCTCTAAATTCAAAATATTTCGAGTTTATTAAGATGTTATCAATATTACCAATTTTCGCACAATGTCCCAAACAATCTAAATATTCTCAAAAACTAATTTTGAGAAAAATACCCCGTACCTTTCATTTTAAAGGCATAACATTTCTCCAAAAACTTTTGGAAACAAAAATTTTCCAAAATTGGTTAAATTTCTAGATATTTTGAGTTTATTACGAGATTGTAACGAAATTACTAATTTTTTCGCAATTAGACCGAAATTAGCAAATATCTCAAAAACTAATTGAGATAAATTAAGTATGTTTCATCTTAAAGTCAAAACATTTTTCTACAACCTTAGAGCATCGCAAATTTTCAAAAATCGCTCTAAATTCTTAATATTTCGAATTTATTATTAATATACTAACTATTAACAATAATACTAACTTTCGCACATCGCACAATGTCCCAACAATCCTAATTATCTTAAAAACCAATCGAGATAAAACCATCCCATTCCTCTCATCTCGAAACCAGAAACATTCCTCTAAAACCCCCAATAAAATTCGAAAAATCCCCTCGCAAAACCACTTCAAAAACCAACACAACACCAAGGTGTGTGAAGTTGGCACCGCAACTTTAGTTTTCAGTAGTTCTGATTAGAGTTCTGGATTCCTTTTGGATAGTTTAGGAGTTCTTTTGTACCGAAAATAATAGTTCTGGTGTTTTAACACATTATTTTTTAAATAAAACATGCGGTGCTAACTTCAAACCTAAATTTACAATGGAATAGTTCTGATTAGTTTATTTGATGTATTTTGATGAGTTCTAGAGTTCTTGAATATTAAAAAATAATAATAATAATAAATTTCATCAATAAACAAGTATAAATAGTTAATCAATTAGATATATTATCAGACAACCCATAACTTTGTAATTATTGAAAAATTCGCAAAATACCTTTAAAGTTTCTTGTAGAACTCGTCGAATACTATTCAGAACTGTTATCAGAACTCCTGAGAACTCTCAAAAAATTTTCAAACTAGGACTTGTATTTTTTTGGTTCAAAGTGATTTTTGAGAATATCTTAAAAACTATTGTTTTAATCGCAAAATACCATTAAAGTTTCTTGTAGAACTCGTCGAATACTATTCAGAACTGTTATCAGAACTCCTGAGAACTCTCACAAAATTTTCAAACTCGGACTTGTATTGTTTTTGGCTCGAAGTGATTTTTGACTACAATTCCTAGTTTTATTCCATGTTTTATTTAAAAAAATAATGTGTTAAAACACCAGAACTATTATTTTTTGTACAAAAGAACTCCTAAACTATCCAAAAGGAATCCACAACTCTAATCAGAACTACTGACAACTAAAGTTGCGGTGCCAACTTCACACACCTCACAACACCATCCAATCCCCACGAACCACTCCAAAATCCTCCAACCACAACACCACAAACTCCATCAAAACAAATTCCTCATATACTAACTATTAACAATAATACTAACTTTCGCACATCGCACAATGTCCCAACAATTCTAATTATTTCAAAAACCAATCGAGATAAAACCATCCCATTCCTCTCATCTCGAAACCATAAACATTCCTCTACAACCCCCAATAAAATCCGAAATAAATCCCCTCGCGATCCCAAACCACTCCAAAATCCTCCAACCACAACACCACACAATATCCAAATCCTCCATCAAAACAAATACCTCCTACACGTATCAGCAGCGCATTTACACAAGCTCTTATCCGATCGCAGCGAATCGTCCATCTTATCCGGCGTACAAAGAAACCTCGCCTTCTCCGGCGTCGTCGGCGCCACCGGATCGATGTTCATCATATAATCGAACGTCAACTCCTCGTCCTTCTGGATCTCGCGCAGCGCGAAAAACGCCAATCTCGGCAAATTCGGATCCAGGCAATCGATCCACACAGCGTACACGGCCAAATTCGGATCGCACGAGTGATTGATAAAGTGCGACACGTTCCCGAACTTGGCCGCATCGATCGTATACGGATTGTCCTTAGTGTGATAGTCCAAATCGAACAAGTAAGTTCTACCTTCGGCGTCGTAGATTTTCCCTCGTTTCTCGGCCTCTTCGTGAGTCACGATCTCCCCTACATACTCGCACACGAAGCTACCACAACCGATCTTTCGCAAGGTCTTCAAGCCCCAACCGCAACCGTTCGACGTCCGGAAGATGCACAACGGAATCGTCCGGCCGTTTTGCACGCACCGGTTCCGGCAACTAGCCGGGCACTTGCACTTTTTGTTGCACTCGTATATAGCCGTACCGGGGTTCACGTTCACCCGTCTCCTATTGTTGTAGTTTATCAGATTGTTGGAGCTCCTTCCGCAGCATTCTTTGTCGCGATTGGGATCGCATTCGAGGCACTCGCAGCCCGAGTACGGCGGAAAGGAGACCTTCAGATCGGCCGACATGAGGCTCTCGTTGATGTAGACGAAGCCCTTGGGGGGGCCCTCGAGGTCGACGAGGTTCTCGATTTTGATGTGGTGGTCGCTCTTGTCGAGCATGTTGATCGAGTGCTCCCACGATCGGAGCTCGGAGAGTTGGGTTTCTCGCAGCAAAACGAGCCGATACAAGGCCATCACTTTTCTGCCGTGTTTGAGTTTTCTAACGTGAGTGACGCGTATGGGGGACATTAGCATGTTGAATAAATGCGATTGCAAGGCGAGTTTATCGGGCAGTCGGTTTAAATCGACTTCTTGCAGGGTTTCTTTCAGATCCTGCTCGGAGAATTCCAATTTCTGGCAGAGCGCTTCGAGGACCTCGGCGCCCAGTTTCTCGGCCAGGAATTTCGATAGGGCTAACGGGGAGTTTCTTAGGTGTTCGACGGGTTCCCAGGTGTTCTTCTCCATCGGGTAGCCCTGCCATTTCACTAGGAACATGTGGCTTTTGGTCGAGGCGTCGTACGTTTGATCGAGGATCTTTTCGACGACGAATTCTTTGGAGTATGTGCTGACTAAGGAGCCGTCGGCGTTGGTTCTTCGTCGGGGTTTCTTCGTTTTGTAGATTTGTACTTTGATTCCTTGCAGGGTGCGGGGCCACGTTATCCTGCCTATTCGATCGAACTGGACTCTTTCTACAACAGTAAACGGCGATTAGAGCGGGGAATTTACGAGGTCGAGTACACTGAAAGAATTAAAATTAATAGGGTTAAAAGTATCTCAGGATAAAGGAGCCCTGCTTCACGACTAGCTCAAAATCGGCTCTATTTGCTCGAGTAAGTTAAGTAAATGGATAAAAAAGCTTATACTTACCCAATTTGATACAAATATTCCTTTGTATTTCGTTTCTGAATCTAACAGTCGGTGCAATTGAAATTGCTTCCTTCATTTCGATAGATTTTTCTTGGGCTACATTTTTAACGGTTCCGTTATTAATAGCGGTTCGACTGTTTATTACTTTGCTAGAAGAAACCTAAAAAAACCTCCGTGAATCATCGAATAAGGAAAAAAAGCGTGCCGATACTAAAGAAATGGGAGATTTAAAATGACTAAAGTGGGGTTATGTTATGTTATTTACAGGATTAAATCTACTCGTATGATTTATAAGTATAAAAAAGAGGAAGTATTTACCGTTATCGACAAATCCTGTTCGTGTGCATTTCGTTGATCTGGAGTAAAACTAGAAATTTCAGGGTAATCCATAAGGTAAAATGTAACTTGCGAAAAAAGCCGCGAAAACCAAAAGTGTTTGTGTTTGACATTTTTGACAGTATTGACAATTTTGAGACAGTTTTGATCGCCACGCTGAATGAATACATGGCATTTACTTGAAATAGATAAAGTAGACAAACTCTACAAACTAGAGGATACCTATTGTATTAAATTTACGCCGAATAATTTTTGAAAATACGAAATACTTTGGTTAGAAATGTCATTGCGATAAGTTCTAATTAGAGAAAGATGAGTGTTTATTTATGATGGTTAAAAAGAAGAACCAATACTTAGCATTCAACAAGACATACATATTTATTCAACGAACAAATACTTAATAAATACTTTACCAAAATGGCTGTAAAACTAGCATGAAAACATTGTAAGTAGCTTGTCGAGAGAAATAATTAAGTTTGCTGGATGCTTATGACCGTTTTAGTTTCATAAGAAAAAGAAGAAGAACTTGTCAGTTGACAAGTGACAGATAATCAAATTTATATTTACATTTTCATTCATTTGTGAGGTTAAACCGCGTTTTTTAATACCATTTGGTGACTTGTTTTTTTTATTTTTATAATAATAAATAAATAATTTTAAAATAATACAATTTATTCAGAGCTCAACGAGTCCAACTAGTTATAATCCGACCCAGTTACGGTAAATAAATAACCTACATTTTCTATAAACAATAAAATCACAACGTACGTAAAATTAAGCATTTTTCGAATATTGTTCGAAAGAAAAATTCACCATGGTAGAAGCATTTACGAACGATGAATGCTTGGAATTGATATACAGCATTAAAAAATACGAATTCCTGTACAACCCCTACGATAAGCACTACAAAAACAAAGTTATGAGAGAGCAGGCTTGGAATGACGTGATTTCGAAAGTGGGCAAACCAGGTAAGGAAAAATTACTGTTTAATATATTAATAAAAAAAATTCAAGTCAATTCCTGCTCAATATATATTAGGTTAACAAAGAATAAAATTTAAAGCGTTGAAAATTATTTAAAAATTAAAAAAAATGTTCTGCCATCCAATTCGTATTTAATATTTCGTTTTTAATATTTGCCAAATCTCATTGAGAAATTGTAATGTTTTTCTAATAAAGAATGTAAAGTAAAAATAAGAAAGTTTGTACCTTTAAAATTGGCAATGACGTCACGAGGCAACCTGTTGCAACGTTGCCGGGTGTCACTGAAATCCTTTATATTACTGATATATTTAATTTAAGCTTATGTTTACTTTCAATGATCACAAATTAAAAAAGTTCCCAAAAGGGAAATTTTAACAAGAAAAATGATGAGGATGAGAAATTAGCTTGTTTGAGTAGTAATTGAATTGAATACACACGCACGAAAATTACACCAAAAACTTAAGAAAACACATAGAAAAACGCGGGAAAAATTGATAAACTAAACTGTGCAAAAACCGCTGGAAAAACTATCTAAAACGGACGAAAACACACAAGCTACTAACTTGACAGCTAATCGTAACTTGACAAAAAAAATCAGAACAGATGCATAAATCGCTAGGAATTATTCAGAACGCTCCAGAATCGTTTAGAACTGTTTGGACCTATTTAGAACGCTCCGGAACCATTCAAAACTGTCTAGATTCATTTAGAACTGTTTACAACTATTTTCAACGCTCCAAAATCATTTAGAATTGTCTAGAACCATTTCGAATCCTTCAAGACCATTTAGAAATGTCTAGAACCATTTAGAACGCTCCAGAACCATTTAAAATTATCTGGAATCATTTAGAATAGTCCAAACACATTTAGAACGCTTCAGAATCATGTAGAACTGTCTAGAGCCATTTAGAATGCTTCAGGACCATTTGGAAATGTCTAGAATCATTTATAAATGTTTACAACCATTTAGAACGCTCCGGAATCATGTAGAACTGTCTAGAGCCATTTAGAATGCTTCAGGACCATTTGGAAATGTCTAGAATCATTTATAAATTTTTACAACCATTTAGAACGCCCCAAAATCATTTAGAACTACTTAGATCCATTTAGAACGCTCCAAAATCATTTAGAATTGTCTGGAACCATTTCGAATCCTTCAAGACCATTTAGAAATGTCTAGAACCATTTAGAACGCTCCAGAACCATTAAAAATGATCTAGAATCATTTATAAATGTTTACAACCATTTAGAACGCTCCGGAATCATTTAGAACTACTTAGACCCATTTAGAACGCTCCAGAACTGTTTAGACTAATTTAGAATGCTCCAAAATCATTTAGAATTGTCTAGAACCATTTCGAATCCTTCAAGACCATTTAGAAATGTCTAGAACCATTTAGAACGCTCCAGAACCAATAAAAATGATCTAGAATCATTTATAAATGTTTACAACCATTTAGAACGCTCCGAAATCATTTAGAACTACTTAGACCCATTTAGAACGCTCCAGAACTGTTTAGACTAATTTAGAATGCTCCAAAATCATTTAGAATTGTCTAGAACCATTTCGAATCCTTCAAGACCATTTAGAAATGTCTAGAACCATTTAGAACGCTCCAGAACCATTAAAAATTATCTGGAATCATTTAGAATAGTCAAAACACATTTAAAACGCTTCAGAATCATGTAGAACTGTCTAGAGCCATTTAAAATGCTTCAGGACCATTTGGAAATGTCTAGAACCATTTATAAATGTTTACAACCATTTAGAACGCTCCGGAATCATTTAGAACTACTTAGACTCATTTAGAACGCTCCAACACCATTTATAACTGTCTAGAATAATTTAGAACGCTCCAAAATCATTTAGAATTGTCTAGAACCATTTCGAATCCTTCAAGACCATTTAGAAATGTCCAGAACCATTTAGAACGCTATAGAACCATATAGAACTGTCTAGAATTACCATTGACACTAGAGAAATTTTGAACCGCGTGGAAATTACTAAAAATGACGTAATTGTCATTTTAAAATGTACGAACTTTAGTAGGAATTGAATAAAAAATCTGTAAATTCGAATTAACCGTTTAGTTTTTAGTGGGGCTTTGCAAGAGGAAATGGGACCTTCTTCGACAACGATTCATCAGGTGCCATAAAAAGCAGAAGAAATTGAAAAATAATGCTGTAAAAGAGGAGACTTGGGTGTATTTTAAACTCCTCGATTTCCTCCACGTGATCTTACCCAAAAAGTGAGTA